TGACAGCCACCGATTTTGATTGTTTGGAAAGCGGATCGGACAGATCCCTGGAGGAGAAGGCTCTCCGTGCTACTACAATCGGTGCCCTTTGCCACCTCCAGCGCCCATTGAGGGAAACACAGGCGGCATGGCGCCACTGCACTCGTGTGCCGCCCGCGAGTGTCCCGTGGGTGGCCGGATTCCCACGGTGTGCGCAGAGCCGGACTAGTGCTTGGTCGGCTCCAAGCAGCGCGTTCTCTATTCAGAGTAAGCGGCCAGGTGCCCCCAGATGTTTTTGGTCTACAGCTCCCATAAGCCCCAGCCAAAATGGTCATTGGTCAGAAAGTGTGGGAGCTTCTCAGCCAAAGCTTCTGGACAGCATTCTGGTTGCTGAGCCCTGCCGTGTTCAGACTGGAGGTAAAGGCACCGTCCCCCTTGTTGGCAGGGTGCGTCTCCGAAGCACCAACCATTGTGTGAAGCTAGGGAGAGGCAACAAGGCCTGGAAGAGAAGCCAGGGGGTTGAGGTTCCCCATCTTTGCCCTACCACAGAAGCGCTAAGCAGCCCCTTACCTTTTGGTTCCCCCCGTCAGTGACTGGCCCCAGCTCCTCCTGGCCTTCCGAAAGCTGCGTGGATTTGTCCAAAGCAGCTCTCCTTGTTTCCCATTGAGCTTCACGGCATCCTCTGGAAGACCTCGTAGCAGCCCTGAGCTGTTCTTGCAGTTCCAAGTTCTTTAAACACACACACAAAGAAGCATTAAACCAGCAGTGATATTTGCATCATTCCTCACCCAGCATGAACAGCGAGTTTCATATCTACCACCCCACATACCGCTGCAACTGTCTTCTCTATGGTCTTGTAAAGGCGACTCATATTGTGTTCCATCGTGTCCTTCTCAACCTGAAGATCCTCAACCATCATTTTCAAATTATCTTTCTCCTGGGAGACAGCCTGGAAGTTTTCTTCACTGCTCTGAAGTTTCTGGAGCAAGTCCTTTTCCTGCTGCTGCAAGGCCTCAATCCTGAGCTTCAGCTGCTCCATTGCACACCCGCCTGTTTTTCCTTAACTCAAGTAGGAGATGGAGGTCAAGGGACTTCTTGCTGGACCAGAGAAAGCTGTTATTAATAATCATCCTATTTTTAAGGGAGTAGGCTAAAGCACTTTTGCACATTTCTGGTACAAGTCTTCCAACAGGCTGGTAGAGCACAGTGTGTCAGAGTGGTCCTATCCATGTTGTTGTAGAGCGTTTGTGTGTTCAGCAAGCATAGCGCTGCACCCTAACAGGCTTAGTCCTCACCCCGAATCTCCCCCTTGGACAAGCCTGGCCTGCCCTTGCCCCAGTCCACAGCAAAATACAGTTTAGACTGGGGTACAGAACCCTTTTGTCCACGGACGAATCAGCCCCTTTCTGATACTTTGGGTATTCTGCTCTGCCAACCACTGGAACACAGCTCTGCGCTTCCCCACAACTGTATGGAGCCCTCCAGTTGAAAGTGGTTTGAGAATATTTGCTTTGGAAGAAGGGCGGACTCAGGACCAGGAGGGCAGCGGTGGGCTTGCCACCCGCTTCTGCTACCGGATGCCTCATAACAGGAAGATCTCTCTGGTGCAGCTACTTGCTCTGTTAATCTGTGTCCAAACGGAAGAGTACTTTGGCACGCTGTATACACCACCCTATGCACCCCATGGAAGGAATATGCAATATAAAAGTCAACTAATGTGGACCTAATTGGTTGCATTACCCCATTAAGGGTACAAGCCTATGTATGTTTAGACAGGAAAAAAATACTTTTCCCTGAGTAGACATAGGATTGCATCCTATTGCCTTTTAAATTAACTTAAACCATCATCAAATGATCAAATATTGCCAAATGTGGCATTGCCATTTTTTAAAAAGACTTTTAAAATGCTTGTAATAAATGCAGTTGGGAGGTGCTCCCTTGGAAGAGGAGTGCTCCTTCTTTGATGGTACCTACTTGGACATATACAAAATCCTGACCAAGCCATATTTTGAGTAGACCCACTGAAGTCAATTGAACTTTAGTCAGGATGAATTTGTGTCCCATAGATTTCTACATGGGGCTCCAGTCCTCTATTTAAAGACAAACAAGCTCTCAGAGTTTTTAATCATGTATGTTTTATCCATTGGAGAAATCTTAACTGAACACATCCGAGCCAGGGAAGGCCTTAATGATAACAATTAGCCCCAAATAAAAGAACAACCTGCTAGCAGGACCAAGCCCTGTTTATGCAACATTCAAGGGAAATTGCATGTCTGAAGCAGTAGATGGAAAGTACTTTCAAACTGTGACATGGAAAGCATAGTTCTTATGGGATACATTCTAATGAACAATATCCAGCAGTGCTTTTAAATAGCACCCGCCCCAATCCCTTAGACCTACCTTGAATAGTAAGGACAGCCACTTCCTTATTTCTTAGAAGGATCAGCAAAGCAAGAACTAGCACACCCCTTCGCACCTTTCACAGCCCATTTATGCTTCCAGCCAAACCAGGTGGGCAAACCATACGTGGGACATACCACTTCAGGTTGCAGATGGGGGTGAGAATGGAATGCTTGAACGCTCCCGTATGAAAACACAAAACTGGAGATGGAGAAATGCCGAAGAAAAGGCTATGCTGAGTTTTTCTCCCTGTGATACTACTGCTCTATCTGCAAGGAGTTTTAAAATATGAGCAGTCCAACGTACCCTGCCTCAAGTGGCTATCTGAAGTGGTGCAGTCCAGGCAGAGTGTTGCCTCCCCCCCTTCCCAGCCAGGCACCTTCCAGATGTGTCAGATTATGACCCTAATCTGTCTGGGGGATTATGGGAGCTGCAGTTCGACCCTTCTGGAGTGCACCTGGTTGCAAATACTGGGGCTAAGAACCTTTAGCAGGAAGGTTCCCACCAGGTTGCTTATCCTGACGGTATGCGGGCAGGATGAAGGTTCACGGCTCCAGGGCAGAAAAAAAGTTTCCACAGAGGAACTCTTGTTCCTTAATTATAGTAGACCTCGGACTATTGGGTAGGATAAAATGTATTTAATAAATCATGAATTTAATAAAAAATAAAAACAAAAACTTTTGGCTGTGAGATGCTCGTATTGTTGGCCCTTTTTTGTCTCAGCTGGCATAGGATAGCGCCCTAGATTGATTTTGAAAAGTTTCATTGATTTGAGAGGTGCTGCAAATTACTCGGACAATTTTATATAATAGTTGAATCTACAACTATATTCATCCTTAATCTCATAGCCAAAACTCAGTGTGGGTGTGTGGTTTGGAGCATCCCCAAGCTTACCCTGGGATGCACATTCCATTCCCTAAAGACTCAATCCGATGGAAGATTAGCTAGAGTTGGATGGACAATTTACGGCACCTTGTCCAACCTCCATTTTCAGGAAGAATCCAGATAAAAGCTTCTCTAACAGAGGGCTCTCCCGTTGTTGCCTGAAAACATACCCAGGGGCAACGAGCCGACCATCTCACCAGGCGGCTGGTAGCCCAGCTGCTCTGGCCTTTAGCAAGTTTGTCCTAATGTTCAGCTGAAATCTGCCTCCCTGAAATTTGAGCCTGTTTTCTTCGTGTTTATTTTTCGATCAATATCCTGCCTTTTCCTACAAAGAGCTCAAGGCAGCTTACATCACTCTCCTCCTCCATCTTATCCCCACAACCACCACCCTGTGAGGTAGGTTGGGCTGAGAGTCTGTGGCTGACCCAGAGTCACCCAGCTGGCTCCATGGCCGAGCGGGGACCAGAACCCGGATCCTCTGAGTCCCAGCCCACGCTCTTAACCACTACGCCATGCTGGCTCTCAGTGTTAAAGAACTCATTACAGCCCCTTCTGCGTGATCATCCTTTAGGCACCAGAAGAGCTGTCACATTCTCCCTGGCTCCTTTTGCTAAGGCTAAACATACCCAGTCCCTTTTTCATAAGATTTAACTCCAAGTCCCCAGAACATCTTTATTGATTTTTTCTCGAGCACATTCCAAGTTATCTGAATCCTTCTTCAAGTGCAGAAGTGGGCACAGCATTTGAGGTGAAACCTGAGCAGCACAGAACAGAGGAGGCCCTGTGATCTGGAAACTAATGCGACCTAAAATTGCATTTGCCTTTTTTTGCAAACGCCTCACGATGCTGGCACAGGTTCCACTTGGGAGCAAATACAACTCAGGGAGGCTTTTACAGGTACTGTTGCCAAGCCAGGCATGCTCCATCAGATGATTATGCACTTTACTACTTTTTCAGAAACAAAGAACGTTGCACTTGTTTCCGTTCAGTTTCCTTCCATTATTTCAAACCTATTATAATCATCTTGAGGTTTGTTAAGGGGGAAAAAAGCAAAGGAACCTGCAAAGAGGCAAAGGCAAGATTCGAACCTGCAGCCTTTCGAACGAGAGGGAGGGAGGGAGGGAGGGGTCACTTTTTTCGCCTTCCACCAGAATGCTGATTGACCCTTTTTTCAAAGGGGGACGTCACAGCAGTGCAGCCAATCGCGCCGCGAATAGGCAGTCTGCCTCGTTTTACGGAGTGGAGCGGATAAGAGGAGACGACGGCAGAAGGAGGGACTCTATACGTCCCGTCCCCGCATGCGCACTGTCGCTTAGCAGTCGCGCCAAGCCCCCGACCGGCCGCCTTTTTGCGCATGCGCGCTGGCGGGGGGAGGCTGTCCGGGCCCCGTCGCTCCTTTCCACCGCTAGGCAACCTTCGGCGAGGCGCATGCGCAGTGCCGGCCGGCCGCTGCCTCGACCTGCGGAGGCGCCCGGGCCGCGCGCGTGAGCTGCGCGCCGTTGCTTTCTCCCTCAGGCGGCGGGACCGGCGCGCGTGCACGACGAGGCAGGGGGCCGCCCGCCACCGCCTCCCCCTGTTCCCCCGGCATGGGGGCCCCCTCCCTCCGCGGCGCGGGCCCCCCTGGGCTGCGCCCGCCCCGGCGGGGCCTGTAGCGCGAGCAGCCGCACGGCCGCCGCCGCCGCCGCCCCTCGCGCTCCGCCGCGCCGGGCATGAGGAGGCGCGCCGGGCCCCCGTGAGCGCCGCCGCCGCCGCGATGGCCCAGGCCGAGAAAATGGAGCTGGACCTGGAGCTGCCGCCTGCCGGGAGCGACGGGGGTGGCCTGAGGCGCTCCAACAGCGCCCCCCTCATCCACGGGCTCAGGTGAGGCCCGGGGCGGCGCGGAGAAGGCCGCGGTCCCGCCCCCTGCCGCCCGCGGGGCTCCGCTGCGGATGCGGAGGCTACGCCGGCCGCGGGCCGGAGGCGCTCCGGGGCTGTTCGTGCGGGGCGGGCGCGGGCGCCGCACTCCCGCCCCAGCCGCGCGGGAAAGGGTCGGAGCGGGAGGAGGCTGCGGCCCAAGCACGGGCCAGGCTGCTTCTGCTTCTCTTGAGCTGCGAGTCGCATTTCTGCCCTGCCGTTTTCCCCCCACGGGGGCTTCCGCCCTCTCTGATTGCACCGTCCAAACAGCCCTATAAGGTAGGCTAAACTGACTGGTCCAAAGGCACGGCGCGAGTCCGGCCAGAACCTGGATCTCCTTTGTCCCAGCCCAGGGCTCTTACCAGTGCACTGGGAACACTTAGGAGGCCCAAGGACTAAGACCACGAGTCAGTTTAACCTGGGTTTCAGTTCTGCATTCAGCCAGGCAGGTCACTGGGTGGGCTTGGGCCGGACAGGCTAGTCTTTCTCACAGGGCTGCTCTTTGGAGGAGAAAACAGAAACAGATTAGGCGGATCCTCTGTGCTCCCTTGAACTTCTTAGAGGAGAGAGTAGGATGTCGCTGTAACAGTAAATGTATGTGGTATGCAGCCTTTCACAGTAAGGATGGCTATGTTGAGGGTACTAGGCAGTGTGAGGTACTGTTACTGTAACATCCCCCAATTCAGTGCTCTCCGAATGTTTTGAACTTCCATGAGCCCTAACCCGCCTGGCCAATTTTCAAGATTTCTGGGAGTGGTAGTCCAAAGTTTCTGGAGGTCACTTGTTTGCAAAAGGCTGCTTTTATCTGTATGGGTATATGTCTGCTTGCACTAAAATGGGAATGTTTTCCTTTGTAAATATTATGGTCTCTAATCAGACAGAGCCAATGAGCTTGTTTTGGTTTAGGTTGTCTTACTAAAACCAGGGAGATGCAGGTTTAGATCTACTAGTCATCAGTTTTTGTTACTCCCTGTACTGAATTGTAGTGCAGCAGCAGCAAGAATGTGGTGCGGTGGGAGTGGAAAGTGGTCCTTAGATTTCTGAAGACCTTGCCTATCCTAGTTTACACTATCTCAGTCCTTCCTGCAGTATCCTTTCAGGCAGGTTTGCAGGATTTTGATCTCCCCCTGTTGCAGGTAGGAAGACTGGGTCTGGGAGCTCAACAGGCTGACTTAAGCCTCTTATTCTTATTTGAACATTTAGTGGCTGGTTGTAACGGCATTTGAACTGAGGGCTTCTTTGTTCACAATTCTCACTCTCACCCGCTGTATATTATAACCTCACTATTATAAAAATGGTAATTATTGTGACAACTGTTGTTGGGATTCAGGATACCACCTGTGCTAGTCTTCTAAGTGTCCAGGAGTTTCTTGGCTTCTTGCTTGCAGTAGCAACTTCCATCTAGACTGGCATCTCCTGCCACCAGAAAGAAACAGTTTTTCACTTGTGCCTAGGAGGGTAAGGTTGAATCTCAGCTTACATATTTGTAAAGTCCTAGCAGTATACATTGTACTTAACAAAGTAACCTAAGCCAAAAGGACAGGTGCGGCTCCATGTGGAGAGAACGAGAGTGGCTGCATAATAAAAACATTTTTAAAATCATAAAATGGTGCAGAAATGTAACTGTTGTTTGTTTGTTTCAGTGACAATTCACAGGTTTTTCAGCCATATGTCTTGCGAACCCGCAGGAACAGCACAACAGTTATGAACCGGCACAGCATGGTTAGTACTTGAGAAATGCAAAAAACATTTGGACCACAGTGGTTTGGGGAGAGGGCACCTAAAGTAACCCGACAGACCTCCAGCCAAGGCCCCATTGCAGTTAGATTTTTCTTGATGAAGCTGACACCGGAAGCTGAGTAGGACTAGTCACACGGGTAATCTAATTGTGGATATATCATTGTCAGTTCTCTCATGAAAGGTGGTAATTGCTTGTAATGTTCTGTTGTACATTGTGATGCACTGTGTAACAGGACAGCTGCTGGTTTGTCCCAAGAAATAAACTCATTATTCTGTAGGTGAGACTGTTCATTGCATTGCTGTATGATTCTGGCCCTGTTTCCTTTCAGTCAGCATCCACTGAAGTGGGGTAATTCCACCGTGTCTCTGCATTGGCTGTGATTGGATCAGTGAATCACTCCCAGTCCAGAGACAGAGTAGAATTACCTGCTATGAGAGAGAATATTGACTGCTGCAGAGACATGGGGTGAGCTCTTCTGAGCATTAATGTTTCAGTGTATTGTTCTGTAAACTTCTGTAAGAGTAAACCTTTTCAGCTGTGAACATGCAGCCTGGCTTTAAATTTTAGAAAACAGTGCCATCGCTAGCAGAAATTTGGGACACACTAAGTTAGAAAAGACGGACAGTTTCTGAATGAATTTTTGCAAGGATGAAGTAGCAAGAATACCCAGAGTGAGAAAATTCAAGGTTTTTTGCTTGCTCAGAACCTCCCAGTACCAGCCTTCTGTATACTGCAATTCTGTATTTGCTATTCTTTATAGTTCACTTGGGAACATTATTGTTGGAAAAGAAAATTGCAGTACCTTTTATTGCTGGTCAGATCAAAACATGCACCTGCTGTTTACTTGATTCCTCCACAGGATGAACCTAGCATGAAGGAGCAAGGAATGCATAGTAGGTGATGCAGGATAAATGAACAGACAGTATATGTACAATAATTCACACTCCTGTGTGGTATCATCTCTGGAAGTGGTCATTTTTCTTACTGTAGACCTGTAGAGTTTGATCGCTGTTGATTTTCAGAATTAATTTCCAAGTGCTTCAGGCAGTGCTCAAAGGATACCTTTTAACTAATACATTTGATATTCAGTGTGTTACTAGACTGAGCACTGCAGTGAGGTTCAGCTTTAAGCAACAACAGTGTAATTGTAAGTTCTGAAATGTATGTGTGTTTCTTCCAGCTGATATCATCATCTCCAATTCGTATCCCTAGCAGCCGACTCCATCAAATCAGAAGGGTAAGCGTGCCATATTTTAAGTACAAGTGCCATTTTTAGAGGAAACAGAACATTAGGTTTCTTTGCTAACTTTTCACAGTTTGGTATAATGGTGGTCTCAATGATAGAAATCCTAGCTCTGAGAAGCACAAATGTTTCACTATTACTTATTTATTTAAAACACTTGTATGCTGCCTCTTGTGCCACAGCACCTCTGGGCGGCTCACAATTGTAAGATAAAAACCATAATAAAAAACTAATTACAATTAAACAAATACAATATTAATAAAAGACAGATAAAAATACAAATACAAATACAAAAGAAAGATTGAGTGGCAACAATGATGAACTTGTACAAATGTGATCAGTACCAAATTTGAAGGTTCCTGTTTTCAGGTCTGGGAAGGGGAAGTGCTGCTGGAATGGGAATATTCCTCTTCTTTATAGAGCTATGTGGGTGACAAAACGGCATGGGGTACTGCCTTGGAGTACAGCTCAGGCACCCTGGGTTTGCATGCTGCTGTGGACAGGAAAACGAATGTTTGGGGAGTGCTAGGCAGCATCTTGTCAGTTTCTGTTCTGGGCTTGGGCAGGCAGCCCTTTATAGAAGGAACACTGAAAGACGTAGCCCCCATTTTCGAAGAAAGCTCGGTCCAGCCGCCCCTTTTCTATTTGCAGATCTCCCAGCTCAGCTAATTCTAATGACATGGGTTGATAGAGCAAGTTACATGTTGCTGGGCAAGAAATCATGAAGAGCTAAGACATTAATTCTTATGCTTCCCCAGGAGGAAGGAGTGGATTTGATGAACAGAGAAACAGCACATGAAAGGTGGGTGTAACTGAAATGCCATTAAAAAGCAGCCAGACTTGTCCTGTTGTAGCCACTGATGAGCCTTTTTGTGTTTTAGGGAAGTGCAAACAGCAATGCAGATAAGCCAGTCATGGGAGGAAAGCTTGAGCCTGGTAATCTCTTTACAGATGTTTAATATTTTAATTCCACCCCTTCACTTAACCAGTGAACGTAAGGGGAACGTGTGGAAATAGCTTAATTGGAGTGTCCTATGGGTTCTACTGATTGGCTTTGCTATTTTTCATCAGATTGTTTTGTGGCTCACCTTCTAGAGCTGCTACGTACCGTTAGGCTGTAAACATGACGCTTTGTGTTCTCAGAGTGACAACGACTTGGACAAATCAGAAAAATCCTCATCTCCAAAGAGGATAGACTTCATTCCTGTTTCTCCAGCACCTTCCCCTACAAGGGGTATAGGAAAGGTATGCCAAAGAGCTTTATCAGTGTGAGAGTTGTAAAAGGATGGAAGAACACTTGAATATTCGTTTTCCAAAAGAATACTCACGATTAGCCTGAACATGACTGCTCTTAGGACTATGACCAGCCCAGAATACACCATTAAGCCAGAATTCAGGAATCTCCTGTCTTATTAGTAACAAGGTGCATGCCCTTGCTTAGTCTGTCCTTGTCTGCTCGTCCTTCCCATCTGTAGGAGCAATTGAACTGCCCAAGATTGAAAGCTTTCAGGCTGAGGCTCCTGGCTCATATGCACCTGCTACATACAAGCCAGGAATTATAAATGAAGAAACCCTGATTTGTAACTCCAGCTTGTAAGGAATGCAGTGACCCAAGAGTCCTGACACTTCCATTTCCCAGTTTAGCCATGCCCAGTGACAGGAGCCAAGCAGGAGTGAATGGGCTGTAAGCAATTACTCACTGTAAGCAATTTTAGCTTATTTCATTTCATTTCATTTCATTTCATTTATTTAATTTTAATTTTAATTTTTTATTTTTTTTATTTATTATAGCTTATTTCATGAGTATTTGTAGTAGCTCATATATACCAGGAAAGAAAGAAATATGAGAAGAACAGAGTGATCTGGGGCAACTTAAATGGGAAGCTAATTCTGTATGTGCTTATTTGGAAGTCATTGAGTTGAGCAGGACTTACTCCCAAGTGAGCATAGAATTGTAGTCAAAATTATATTGGCCATTATGGGTTTTGCAGCAATTGAAAACAGAAAGAGAAAGTTGGGCAGCACGGAGAGAGAAGTAGGAAAGGTTGAGGCTATTCTGCATATAGCTGGTGCTGGAGAGATGGCAGTGTTGGGTTATTTTCCTATACTGGAACTAAATGTAGTGCTTTTCAGTTATGGAACAGAACATGATAGAACAAAATATGCTTGTTGTGACTGCATTCAGTAGCTCTTCTTCTGGCAGTCTTAAGCTTCTCCGTAATTTGTCCATTATGTGAACCATGAATAATGTCTTTTGAGCATATGAACCTACCTTTAGATTCTGTGAGATCATTGTGCCATCTAGTTTGGGATTGTCTGCTCTTGAGTGGCAGTGGCTTTCTGAGGTTCTAAGCAACGCTTGCCAGCTCTGCAGCAGAACTTTCAAAATCTTTGAATGTTTGTTAAAAGAGAGGATAATGGAGAGAAGACTCTCAAAGAATGGTAAGGGGGGAACTTCAGAGTGGAGGACTAACATATGTTATATAAGCTTCAGGACGTGTACTCTGGCAATTGTGCTGCTAATGTTTTGTTATAAAAGGAAACTTAATAAATAGACCGCAACACACTGTGCCTTTCCAGGGCTTTGGTTGCATGTGAGACAATGCCTGCAGAAATCTCAGACACCAGAGCAATGGCTGAATGAGATTTCTTGTTGTTTGGGGTAGAGTTTCAGTGCCAAAAAGTACCCTTTTCTTCCAGTGAAAATCTGGAGGGAGCAGGCAGCTATGTATAAAAGTGGATGATGATAGGAACGGCAGCTCTCATTAAGTTCTACCACTGTTGCTGCATTGCATAATTGAAGCTGGTAGTAATAGGGCTATATGCCTATGTCAGGAGTCAGCAACCCGTGGCTCCGGAGCCGCATGTGGCTCTTTCAACCCTCTGCTGTGGCTCCCTGTTGCTCAAAATATGTGTCACAACCGCCAATGTGGGACACCCACCGGCACGCACTTTATCGAGCTTTTCGACCCCCGGTAGGCCAACCATGGATAAATCCAAGAAAAGAAAAGTTTCAGAAGAAAACAGAACATTTAATGGTACGTGGGCAGATTCATTGGCTTTCCCTGCTGACGAGACTGGTTTACCAGTCTGGGTTTTTTTAGGTAAAAAATGATATATGCAGTGTTATCTTCATTTTAGATGTCAAAAGGGTTTTGTGGCTCCCAGTGTTTTCTTTTCTGTGGGAAATGGGTCCAAATGGCTCTTTGAGTGTTTAAGTTTGCCGACCCCTGGCCTAGGTGGACTTCTGAACACCAAACTTAAAATCTGTGCTTCACAAGGGTGCGGCTTCTGCTGCTTTTTAAGTAAGGCCAACAAATCAGATTTTGCCAGGCTTTTTAAATATCATTTTAAATGTCCTTAAATATTGTGCTTATGTTCTCCAGCAATGTTTCTCGCCATCCCTGCAAATGTTTGTGAGTAGTAATGGATTGCCTCCAAGTCCTATTCCCAGCCCTACAAGGAGGTTTTCAAAGTAAGTCAATGTGCCTTAGGACAAAGTGCTTCTTAATAAGCAGTTTGACTGCTGCATGCCGCATGGTATGTGCTTTTGGATTGGTGTCAGCAAATTGGATAAGCGCTAGAAATTTCCACTGAAATTGATACTAGATATATAGTCACCAATAGAAAGGCTGTGTTGGAAGTTCCCAATAATCCGTGTCCATCATCCCCAGTCGGAAGCACAAACATGGCATGCAAGTCGTGTTCACGTCCAGACAACCTGAGTGAGTTCAGTTCTCCCAAGTCATGATATGTAAAAATGCATGACAGGCATACTGTTCTCTGAAAGGAGTGACATCAGACTTTTTCTTAGTGTTGTAGTAGAGCAGTAGTTAATGAGAACTGTGGTTCTTTGTGTAAGATGTCTGTCTCTTCTGAAAACTATCAGAACGATTAGCGTCTCTTTGCAGGAAAGTGCAACCTCTTCCCTTTGTCCCAGAAAGGTGGCGAAGCAACTGGTTTGTCATTTTTCACTCTGCCTTAGCCTTGAACCAGAGTGGAGAAAGCGGACCTTTTCTCTCCGAGGCTTGTAAATGGCTCCTTTATCAGAGAAGCTGCAGAGCTGGTGCCAGCCAAAGGTGTGCTGCTGGCTGTAGTCTGGCAGGTGCCACGACAGGCTCTGGCAGCGCTGAGCGCAGCTGGCAGGTGAAGCTGGTAGAACAGGAATATGTGAGAACATGCAACGTGGCAGAAGTGGAGACGCACAGTGAGGGAGATGCCTGATGGTCCAGCAGTAACACTTGTGGGCCAGAGGCATGGAAACAGAGACCTGGAAATCTGGCTTTGTTTCTTTGAAATAAGCTTAAAGAATAGGACAGATGGCTCAAGGGGCTGTTGGTTATTAGGCCTCCAAAGGCTAAACATCCAGTTTTGGTAAATTGAAACTTGCCTTTGATGTTTTATTATCAAAGGAGGTTTGAAGTGACAGGTAGACCTAATTATGAAGGCTAAAGCTATAGTAATAGCCATGTTTGAATTGCAAATGTTATGAGGCAGAATGCTGATGTATGTTTGGTTTTTGTATTTAAAGCCACTTAGACCAAATGCAAACTGTTCAGGAAATTTAACAGTTTAGGCATGGAAGTTAACCTTGGGTCGAACATCCCATTAGACGCATTGATACCCACACTGTTGGATCACCAGTGTTAAGGTTCCCTTTGGAGCTAGAAGGAATTCTATGCAAAAGAAATGTTTATCTTTTGGCCAGGACCTTTGGGGCTTTACCCTGTAATTTTAAAGTCTTACAATATGTATTGTTTAAAATAGCTCAGATGTGTGCTTCCGTATAAGCTTGGAAGTCTTTAACATGCTAGAAAAGCAGTAATCCGTCTTTCATGTTAGCAGGAGGAGCCAGAGTCCAATCAACTGCATCAGGCCCAGTGTTCTTGGCCCCATTAAAAGGAAAGGTATGTAATGCTTCCAGTCAGAGGCGAGATGGACAAAAGTTTGCCGTGGGCTGTATGACAGCTATTTTATTTATTTATTTATTTATTTATTTATTTATTTATTTCCCTATTTATAAATAAAAATTATTTATTTATTTTCCAATTTTTCAAGCCTTTTTCCTACAAAGGGCTCAAGACAGCTTACATCTCCTCCTCCATCTTATCCCCACAACAACCACCCTGTGAGGAAGGTTGGGCTGAGAGTCTGTGGCTGGTCCAAAGTCACCCAGTTGGCTCCATGGCTGAGCGAGGACTAGAACCCAGATAGCTGGAGTCCCAGTCCCAGGCTCTTCACCACTACACCATGCTGGCTCTCAGTTATAGATGGCAGAATGGGCCTGGCTGGAGCCAACGTTCCTTAATCCTTTTCTGTGCTCGTACTATGGAGGTCTTCTCAATGGTGCATCCCCCACAGCTGTGGCGGCACAGCAGTGGTGACAGCCACTGAGAAAATGAAATGGGACTTGTCTTCTCCTGTTGTCCCTTAATCTGGTGATTGCAAATTACAGAGAGCAAGACTGGGGTTCTTGTGGCATTTGGGGCACAGGTCGGAACATTAGATACTCATACAGTGAATGATAGTCTGCCCAGCACTCCTGCATGATGGAACTTCACCATTCTTCTGTTTCTCCAGGAGAATGAATATTCCTTCAGTGCTATAAAATGAGGAGTTTTCAGGGCCACCAGCCTTCAAGTAGAGTCTGAGTGGTAGTATATTTCTTCTACAAAAAACCAACACTAGAATGTGCATTTTCATACTGCATAGTCTCTGCCTGATCCCAGTGTTGCTGTAAAACTAGCCTTCAATAAATGCACTTGCCAACAGACCAGGGGCAAGAGAGTCTTTGATCTTGGCAAGCAAGAATCCTCAGGGAGGGAGATGGTATGCACAGCACCTAAATTAAGCGAGATAAACCTGGAGTAGATTATTGGAGAGAGCATGTTCACTTGTGCTAAAGAGCGTCTTTATTTAGTTATTTACAGTATTTTTACCCTGTCCTTAACAAACATCTCAGGACGGCTTACAACGTAGTTAAACATAACAATAAATAAACACAACAAATACAAGAAGTATAATAAAATAAAGTAAAATCTGCAGAGCTTTCTTTCATTGTGAGTTGAGCGTAAAGAAGGTCACTGCGCAATTCTCACTTTCTGTCTGGTGGTGGTATCAGGTAGTTTTTTGCCTTATCATTTGCAGAGTTGCTCTTTCTGCCAGCACTGTCCTTCTCCTGGAACCCAGCAGCTAACCCCAGCCTTCATACTTCACCCTGAGAATATATTCCTTCCAAATACCTCCCAGTCAACAAGCTGCTGTGCTATTTCATCCCACTTGCTGGTAGATTTTTTTTAAACAAGAAGTGCTTGCTTTATAAATGAACTTGGTAGGGAAAGAAGGCAGAGAGCAAATGCCGCTTTTACTTTGCTTACCTTTTCCAGTGCAATTCTACTTGCAACTTCTTTATCTTTGCTCTTTCCTGAGAAAGACAAAAGTCCAACTCGCATTGTTTTCTCCTCTGAAGATTGACTGAGAAATAAAAACCGGACTGGGTATGAAGAAGAAACCTATTGGGAGAAAGACTGTCTCCTGACCTTTTTTGACTGGTTTTGAAAACAGATTCTGCAGAGGCTTACTAGGGAAGTGGGGACCAAGAGGAGCAATGCCATCTGCTCTGTTTGTCCTTAATTCTTTGGAAGAGGAAGACTGTCACTTGTAGGATGGCAAGAATAGGGCACTGTACATCCATTCAAGGCAACTCCTGTTCTTGGTGACTAGTAGAAATAACTTGATTACTAAACCTAGACGTAGTCTGTGGACCTCTGTATGAAATAAAGAAGTGGGACTTACTGTTTCTTTCAAACACCTCGGTAAAATTAATCTATCAGATGTTTTGTTGAATAACATGAGAAGAGCTTTCCATTGGCAAAAGGTTTGTTAAATGAGCTTTAGAGCTACTGACTTAGAAGGTTTCCTTCTTGAATCTAAAAAGATTGGCTTGATTTTTATAGGTGAAATGGAAACCGAAAGCCAGCCAAAGAGACTTTTCCAAGGAACCACTAACATGCTTTCTCCTGATGTGACACATCTGGCAGACCTCAGTTCATGGTAAGAATGACTTTAATAAGGCCACCAAAACTGCTAAAATACATATTGCTTATTTCTCATTTGTGCCAGAAACAACTTCTTTGGCTTTCTAACGTGCCAGTTTCTACATAGAGTTAAGGTCTTTTGGCTACAAAATGCACCACCACGACTCCTGACCCTTCTGCTACGAATATTTTTTCTGCAGGAGTTCAAAATATGATATGCACTTCTTATGCTGGTAGGGCCCGCTAAGTGCCAATAAAAGAACTAAATGACAACGTTACCACCATAGCCAAACTGAAAGAGTTCTACTCTTAAGGGCAGCCTAAAAATAAAATAGCATGCTACATTTCATAGCAGCCATTCGTACAACTGGGAAATTGCCATATAAAATAAGCACTTAATCCATCTGCTTTGGAAAAGGCTCTGGACCAGCGATGGGGTACATGCTTTACACATAAAATGGTCCCAGACTGTGTTTCTTGCATCTCCTGTAGGGCTGTCTGACATCCCAGAGAGCTGTTCTAAGTCCCTGGCCAGGTTGATCCAAAAATACTGCTTGTTGTCTGCAAGGACGTTTGCTGGTGCATGTAGCTGGATCGCTCACACACGTCTCTGCCAGCCAGGAACTTAGCAGGGAGGAAAAGCTTAGCATTGCATTACATGCCGAGCCTGGGCTTTGTTGCTCTTCTGACAAGCTTGGTTTCCAGAAGCCTGCTTTAAGCCCTGGCCTGGTAGAGGAGCAGCAAGTCCAGAGACCCCAGTGGTCATCAACCCCTTTTCTAGGCTTTTCCAGCCTAGGCATTCTGGCTTTGCTGATCTCACTGACCGGAGAGGCCGAGTGGAGCAGTCTCTGCAGACACGTCCACGAGCCGTTAGCCAGGATTCTGGAGAATCCGACACAGCGTTTCGTGCTGACAAGCCTGGTCTAGGCGCCCCTGCCTTAGATGAGCGAGTGGTCTGGCTCTAGGCAGTTTCCTGTTGTCAGACCTCCAGGGGCATTGTGGGGACACCTGGCTGAATGGTTGCAGTGCTGCAGGCATGCTAACCCATCAGGGAATGAAAGGGCCTGCAGTTGAAGTTGCTTGAGGGGGAAGCAAAAGAACAGCTTGGCCACATGGAGCTAGACTGAAAGGGGTCAAAGAAGTTGGAGAAGAATGAACCAGCAGGACAGGAGGAACGCAAACGCACCTGTCTTTCCTCCAGAACTGTCGGAACATGTTCGCCTCCCTCCCACCCCATCCCCAGACATCTAGAGCAGTGGTCACCTACAGGAAACCGCGCAGCCAAGGTAGAAGGGGGAAGTGGCTGGAATAGACGGTGCTTTCTTTCTCTTGAATTACTTTGTTGCATTAAATTTGTAAGCATGGTAAAAATGTGTGTTTTTCTTGTTTCTCCCCAGTTTGTCTTCAGATATTCTTGATGGGAGTACAAGCAGTGTCAGCTCTTCCTCTGATTCATTGGCCAAAGGCAGCACCACTGCAGAATCTCCCGTCACATGCTCTAACTCGTGTTCCTCATTTATCTTAATGGATGATCTTTCACCCAAGTGACTTTTCCCAGACGTTGGTTGAGGTCTGCCTTTGCTGTTTCCCTGCTGTACATCTGTACAGGAAAACCCGTGGAATTAAACTCTTGAGGACATGAGGATTGAAATACTGAGTGGAAACATTGCTGTAACCTTATTCCTTGCCAGCATCTCCCAAGTGGTTTTGATTATCCTTCTTAATGAACATATCAGGCCACAATGATGTCTGGTTTTGCTGATTTTTTTTTTGGAAACAAAATTATCAATATTTGCTCAAATCATACTAACTTTGCTTTCAAAGAAACTGCATATACTTTTTAAAATCCCCAAGCAGGCACCTAATTTATATTAGTGTTAAAATTGCAGATGGAAAATCTTTTGCTGTTGCTATCATGATCACTTGTTCTGGAGGTAAGAATGGTGGTTACAGAGTTGTTGCAAAGTCTTCACTGTTTGAGATACTTTTTTTTTAAAAAAGTAATAAACTAGATTACTTTAGTTACTTATTTAGGAAAAGTAAGGTGTTTCTGATGTACAGTTGGCATATTTTGGATCTTCTCCACTCTCCCATCACACTTAAAAGATAACTACTTCAGAATTGTTCCCCTGATTTCCCTGTTGCAGTCTCTTCCCTTTGACTTCCCCAGATACAGGGGGAAAATAATTTTGAACTGTCCTTTGTGCTTCTGGTCAATTATTGTGATGGTGCTGGGAGCCAAACATGTTTGTGGATGGTTGGTTTTTGTTTTTATTTTAAAGTATTGAATGCTACTGTAGCTCCTTGTTTCGGCAACGGGAGGGGAATAAGTCTGCTTCCTGTGACACACAGTTAACTCACCCCGATTGCTTCAGGGTTCTGTGGATAGCCACCGTACTTGCAAAAGTGTCTTTGGCCGAGGTGATGTGGGGGCGGGCGGTGACAGTCAATAGCCACAGTGGTCGTGTGGATCTTCTCGAGCGTTCAGTGTCTCCCGTGGCACTGGGAAGTGTTTTGTGCCTTGGGGGACATGATTCACAAAGCGGAGGAATGTGAGCCAGAGGGCTCGGGTGAGGGAAAGGACTTGTATCGTGCGATGCTGCCATCACGGCTCCTCCTCGGTCACTCCTTGACCCCTGGAAGGAGGCAAATCCTGTGAGCAGCCACAGCGGTTCCACTGTAGTGCCGCTCGGTGTCGCATCCTCAGAACCAGCCCGCTGGGGTTGCCTTGGGGAGAGCAGCCCAGGAAGCGAACCTTACTTTTCATAAAGGCTTCATGTCCACTTGATGCTGGCTCTGCCGATAGTTTGCCTGAAGGAACTACATGTAAGCTATGAGAGGTAAACCTCTTGGGTGCCCTGGTGTAATTTGGGGTGCAACAGACGATTTATTTCTCATGAGAACTGAGCTTAAAAGTGTAAAAGAGATCCCATTTGTAATCTACTGTGTTATGCTATTTATTATTTATAACTCTGTAAAAAATAGTCTGCTGATGACTTATAGTATTTTTTTATGATTGAAACTCTTTTTTATGTTCTGTGAGTGCTGGCTGGTCTGTATTTAATAGGCAACATTGTCTGCCAGAAACGTACGCTTCCAGTTTTGAATGTTTGTAAGTAATTCAATGCTCTTATTGTCAAAGTACAATTTCTGGGGGGGTTTTTTCCCTCCTCTCTTTTCGGTAAGATAATAGCACTGAATTTGACATGAGATTGTGCTAACCTGTAAAAGCACCTGATCTCTGGCAATACTTGTCTAGCTAAGAAGGGGTAGGGGAAAAAACTCTTGGAATATTTTATTCTAAAAGAGGACATTTGGCTCTCTGTACCTAGCATTTTGCTTTTGAAAGTGTTTGTTTGGAATTGTAATAAATACCATACTTGGGCCAGTTGTGCCTCTATTATCTGTATTACTATTCTCACCTGTGGAGAGTTAGTTTCCCCACCTTCAATAAATGTGCATATTGTAAAATACCATCCAGTGGTACCATTGTTTTTTCAACAGAGATGAATCTATCAGTGTATATGGATTGTGTGTGTATATATGAGGTGGGATTGCTTGCTTGCGTATCAGCTCTTTAGAAGGCTGGTTCGTCCTGAAGGATGTTAGGTGGCTGTTTTTTGACATTGCTGCACTTTTTTTGGACACGCAGTGCACAGTCTTGCACATGTTTAGACAGAATAGGCCCCCCCTGCTGCTGCTGTCAGCATTCCCCATCCAGCCATGCCGACTGGCCGCGGAATGTCAGGAAGCATGTTTTTGGCCTACTTGTGCAGCAAGACTGCATCCTTCGTCTTTAGTTTCTTTACAGTTGCAAACTAGGTTGGGTGAAGTACAAGCTGCTAAGCCCATCTTGATGCACTTACTGGACTATGACATTGACTTTCACCTAATGTGGGGAAAAAATATTTTTCTGCATGCTTCATGCTAGCTGAATTAAAAAGAAATCTTGGTTGACTTATCAAAGTTAACTTCTGTCTATTTTTAGAAGTGTCAAGTCTTGTGTAAAATTTGGCTTCTGTGCACATTAAATTGTACAATATTATAAAGCAAAATATACAGCAACCTGGACGTGTTAAGTCATTTTTGTTACAGCACTCTTATTTTCTCTCTAAGGAACTGGACTCCTTTACAGCCAGAAAGGTTTACTTGATTCAGATTTTACGTTTTGTGGTTTTGCACCTCTGAAACAGAATGATAAATGCATCAAGCTCATATTGGACACACATGCGACACACATCACACTGGTTTATTGGACGGGGCCCAGCATCACCTGAATTCATGACAAATCTAGGTGCGTCCTCCGTAACAAGTGGAATGGTCTTCTGTCCATTTATCTTTTGGTGTCCATAATCCAGAGAAAGCTTCAGACAGTGGATGGGCTTTAGGCGAGGAATGTGTCCCCTGTGGCAAACCAGTGTCTGCCATATCATAGAAGTCCTCATGTTTGCAGCGGTGGACTGAGCGTGTCGACCTGGGGCTTGCTGGAGATGCCCCTGCTGGATTCTCTTCTGGCAGCTGTTGTCTTGCTATTCATTCCTGCGAGTGCAGCATGAGTTTGTTTAGGCCGGCCAAGATGCATAATAGCCAAAGCTGGCGCTGCAGTCGGAGGAGCTGTTTCCTAGGACAGGCTGCTAATGATCTGTGCAGCACAGGGCTGCAGGGCTGTTTTCAGGATTGGGGAAACTCAGATTTAAATCCATGGGCAAGCCTCTTATGACCCTAATGTTACCCTCTAGTATTGTTAGGCGGCAGATAGAAACCTCCGAGAATACTCCTAAACGAGCATGACAGGAAGGCAGAAATGCAGCTTCGATAAAGGATGAAGGGAGAGATGTAACCTGCCCCCAGCTGCTGCCGCTGCTAGTTCTGTTTGATACAGTATGGGAATGTCAAATGGCAAGTGACGTTCACCTCCAGCTCAACCCGAGCTTGTGCTTCAGTGGTTTGAGTCAGACCACTCTGACTTGGCCTCTGATGTGTAAGGTGGAATAACGGACGTGTGTGATCAGTACCTCCCACAAACGCACAGGGTTCAAAAGCCTGAGGAGCCCCTCCTCCCTCCCCTTTGACTAGCAGCCATTTTCACTTGGAGCGCTTCCTGCTGGTAATTAAGCTTTAGGAAAGGCATTTCAACCTTCTAGAAAATGAAAAAATGCTATGACTACTACGACTACATTGCATTTGTATCCCGCCTTTTCTCCTCTTTTGAGGAACCCCTGGTGGCTTGCAAAGCCCCCACTCCGTGTTGTGAGGCAGGCTAGGAAGCCACCTACTGATCTGTGTTTGAGAGAGAGTGGGGTGAAGGTTCAATATCCCCGTGCCTTAATGCTGCAGCAATGGGGAGCATCGCGTTTCCTGCCTTCCCCGCACCTGCTGCTTGACCGGGATGCTTTCAGACCCCAAGCTCGGTGCCAGCGATCAGAAGGCACGGAGCAGTGGTTCTGGTCTTTCAGCCGCCCTTACTTAATGGTTCCCCCCCGCCGCCCCCGTTTTTCTTCCTCCGGAATGATGGGCTTTTCCAGCGCGCCATGTCCCCGGCTCAAAATCCCTTTCCTCCCCTCGCCCTTCAGGTGAGACCCGTCGCCCGCAGCGCGCAGGAGCCCGCGCAGCTCCTTCAGAGCCGTCGTCCTCCCCACTCAGGGCTGCCCGCAGAGCGCCTGTTGCTAAATAGAGAGCCACCCGCAGTGCAGGCGTGCAGCTTTGCCCATGTCAGCAATTTTATCTTGGATGTCAGATGCAAACATGATTCATGCATTTTCCAGCCGTGCCTTTCCTCTCTCCCTCCCTGCAGACACAGGTCTGTTTGTTCAGGATTCTCCCCTTTGGGTTGGGGTGGGGAGCTCAGAATCGCGTGTGTGTGAGAGACAGAAAGACTTGAGTTAGTGCTCCGCTTTAGGTTTAAATCTGAAAGGTGGGCCTCTGGGTGCTTTCGCCCTCTAGTGGCCACATCCTGCAGTACTGCTACTTAGAAGGTCTTGTGCATCGCACAGGATTCAGCTGTGATCTAATTTCTAAACAGGCCGTCGGAAATGGAGGGGTCGAGGAGAAATACAAGCCAAACAGAAGGCAAAACAGCAATTATCGATCCGACAGGGAATGCGTAGCATGGCACTAGCGCAGCCTACGCAGCAGCTCAGTGCAGGAAGCAGGCGGCAGAAAACAATTACACGCTGCTAGTATTACTTTTTATTTCTCTTCGTAATTAAGGGTCGTGGGCAAGGGAAGGATGCCGAGAAAGTCAGTGTGTAGGACTCTGGTTCCCGTCACAAAGTCGCAGCCTCACCTACTTCACAAGGTTGTTGTAGTGAGGACAAAACAGAGAGGAAAAGCACCTTGTAAGTCACCTTAGCGTCCCTGCAGAGAAGGTCAGGCTGTCAGTTTAATGCAGTCAACACAGCAAGTGGCCCAGCCTTTTGAGGGCCCTTGGGCCAGACACAGTGCTTTGATCTTCTCACTGCCATTGTCCCCAGCTCCTAACACTTCAGCCTTGGGACCCCTGGACCGCTGAACGTGCTGCACTAGCTAGTGAGCAAACAGGCGATAGCACCTGCTCCTCCTCCTCTTCCTCATCGCGCCACCACTGTTGTCCGGAGCAGAGCAAGAGAGGGATAGAGAAAGCAAAGCTGGGAGGAGCAGCCATCATGGGCTCTGCAGAGAGCGTGCTGCAACCTGGCCGGTGGGCATATTACTTGAAGCGCTCCTTAGGAAATCTTAGGAACCTGATGACAGCCAGCGCTGCACAAGGACCCTGGAGGAAAGTGCTGATTATCTGCCAGGAGAGCAGCTGAATACATTAGTAAGACCCAAGCCACAAATATCAAATCCCTGCTTTGAAAGAAGCCAAACAACAGGCCAAATATTTTGAGCATCCACAAGCCATCCCCGCCCCTGCACCACTGCGGACGTTTTCCAGCCTGGCCTTCTCCCAGGAGGGTATGCGGTACCCCTCAGCAACCCATGGGGTCCGAGCCCACCCACTGTGTAGTGCCCCCAAAGGTTACCTCGCACAACTGCACAATCAAAAAATGCTGTTTCAGCTATTCGTTGCAACAGCATTTAACAAATAGTGCCTGGATCAAAATTACACACATAGGCATGAAGGGAGAGAGCAGGTGTATTTCCAGTCGTGGCTTTGTATTTTAATTATTAATAAATTATTTTGTCGGTATTTTATTTGCATTTTATGCTCTAAACAGCTGCAGTTTGGCAAGCAAAACTGTAAGGCAACTGGTTAATACCTGCCTTGCCCCATCCTTGAAACCATCTACTTCTTCCCCCTCTCTATTTTTAAATGTTTTTCTTTCTCCTGGAAAAGCTGCATCTTCAGCACAGCAGCAAGGCCTGAACAAATATGAGAGGCTTCCTTGGTTTTTCCTCTCTTTGCTATCCTAGGCTGAAGAACAAATGACTTAGCCACAAACTAAAGATAGCCAGAAGTGTAGTGAGTGTCGCATACGCAAGTATTGGTTTGAGGCTTCCCTCCATTCTGCTTAAAAAAAAAAAAAAACAACGGGCTCCAGACAACTAAGTTAAAATGATGGGAAATGTGGATAACTCTGTCTAAAGAGCCAAGAGTCCTGGGAGCTGCAGGTTGGTATACTGAGCCAATATTCTCTCCATACTTCTCGATGATGATGTTATTATCACAACATTTAAATGCCCTTCCTTTCCTCCTTTTGCAAGGAACCTGCAGCCGTTTACAAGGCTGTAATGCTCGCCAGTTTATTTCGCAGTGACCACCCTGTGAGTAGGTAGTTTAAACTCAAAGCCACCCGGGGAGCTCCATGCTGAGCTGGAGTCCGGCACTCGAATTATGCCTGGTTTCAGTGTCAAACAACTCCGTGGGTTGCAGTCCCATGGTGTTCAGTGGGGCCTACTCACAAGTAAGTGTATGCTGGATTGCAGCCTTACAGTTACGGTATCGCAAATCAAAGAGGAAGGTCTATTAACTGGGATGCTGTTACTTGACTACAGTGTTTCTCGCTCTCGCTCTCTCTTTCTCTCTCTCAGGAGGAATTCTTTTGGGATAAAATTTCTAGGCATATTGAGGAAAAAAACCTGCTGTCAGAAGGGGGCCTCCAAAAAGAAGGCCACCCACCACACCCTGCAAGGGCCTTCTCTGCAGATCTTCATCTGTGATCAGGCCTTGGGAAATGGAGGCTGTTTGCAGTAAATACGAAAACTTTCTGCCAGCTCCGCTTTTTCTCCACTCCTCTTGGGTGCAGGACATTTTACAAAAAGTACACACAAAGCACGCTGTATTTTTAGCTTCTTCGCATTCTCCACTGTCTCCAGAGGTTTGCATTTATAATAAATATAGATTTCAGTGGGCTCCCTGCTGGTGCGGCAGCCAAGCTTGAGTAGGTTCATAATAGGAAGGTACCGGCGAGAGCTACGTGGAATGCGCACCTTCCCAGGGGAAGCTGCGAGGTCCAGCAGTGGGAGAGCACGGAGCTCGTTCAAGACAGCGCTGCTGCCTGCTGGGCGGCTTTCTGCACAGTTGCAATCGAGGCTGCGAACAAGAAAAGCCACGGAGGTGTGGGGGAGTCTTTCCAAACTAGGAGAGGCTCTTCGGCTCCTGTGCATCAAATGCAGCCCGTGAATCCCACATCTGGCCTGAAATTCACTTTCAAAAGCCTTTAACATTGAATGGAGAATTGCACGCAGCCAACAGTGTGAGAGCCAGTGTGGTGCAGTGGTGAAGAGCCTGGGACTGGGACTCAGGCGGTCCAGGTTCGAGTCCCCGCTCGGCCATGGCGCCAACTGGGTGACTTTGGGCCAGTCAGACTCTCAGCCCAACCCACCTCACAGGGTGGTTGTTGTGGAGATAAGATGGAGGAGGAGAATGATGTAAGCTGCCTTGAGCCCTTTGTAGGAAAAAGGCAGGCTATAAATCAAAAAATAAATAAAATAAATAAATAAACAGGAGAACTGCAACACACGGGGGGCAATATGTTTGTTTGTTTATAAATTAAAAGCTTTTATAGGCCGTCCACTTGCAAGTGTCTCGGGACGGCTTACAAGAATTTGCACCCTTCCCAGTCTGCCTCTTGGGGGCCAGA